TTGGACATCGCGAACGCGTTCAACACCATCCCCCACGAGTGCATAGAGGCGGCGCTCGAGTTCCACCGAGTGCCACTCTACCTCCGCACCCTCGTCCGGGACTACCTGCGAGACAGGTCAGTCCTGTACGAGGATGCGGAGGGCCGCGTCCAGTCGTGGCCAGTGAAGGCAGGCGTACCCCAGGGTTCCGTATTAGGTCCCCTCCTATGGAACCTGGGGTACAACTGGGTCCTGCGGGGTGAGCTCCTGCCGCGCATGGACGTCGTCTGCTTTGCGGACGACACCCTTGTAGCGGCGAGAGCGAGGGGGTGGGAGGAGGCGGTCCACCTTGCGTCGGTCGGCACCTCCATGGTCGTCCGACGCATCCGCCTCCTGGGACTGGAAGTGGCCCTCGAAAAGACGAGGGCCATGGCCTTCCACGGTCCCAGATGCAGGACCCCGCCGGGGCTCCGTGCCCGGGTAGAGGGGGTGTGGGTTCCGGTCGAGACGCATCTCAAGTATCTCGGCCTGACCCTAGACCCCCGATGGAGCTGGGAGGAGCACTTCAGGCTCCTCGCTCCCCGGCTGTGCGGCGTCGCAGCCGGACTCGGTCGCCTCCTCCCCAATGTGGGGGGGCCGAAAGCGAAGTGCCGTCGGCTTTATCACTCCGTGATAAAGTCGATGGCGCTGTACGGGGCCCCGGTCTGGGCGGAGTGCCTCTCGTCCCGCACGAGGGCCCTCCTGCGAAGACCGCAGAGGGTCATAGCGACCCGGGCCGTGCGGGCTTACCGCACGGTCAGCCACGGGGCTGCCTGCGTCCTAGCAGGCACGCTCCCGTGGGAGATTGATGCCCTGGTACTGTCCCAGGTGCATCAACACCGGGTCGCGGCGAGAGAGCGGGGCGAGCGACCCGTTCTAGAGGAGATAGAACGGGTCCGCACCGAGGCGCAGAGGGAGGCTCTGCGCCGATGGGTGGAGGCACTCGCCAACCCAGCCGCTGGCCACCGGACGATCGAGGCGATTCGTCCGGTGTTGGAGGAGTGGGTAGGGCGCCAGCGGGGCACCCTCACCTACCGCCTGGTGCAGGTACTGACCGGACATGGGTGCTTCGGTCACTACCTGCACCGAGTCGCCCGTCGGGAGGAGACACCGCGGTGTCATCACTGCGCCTCTCCCGACGACACGGCCGAGCACACGTTGATCGTGTGCCCGGCCTGGCGAAATGAGCGCCGCGATCAAATCGGCGGAGGAGGCCTCACGCTGCCAAGTATGGTAAGAGTCATGCTTGGTAGCGAGAGAGCCTGGAGGGTTGCCGCCTCCTTCTGCGAATCGGTGATGACGCAGAAGGAGGCAGCGGAGAGGGAGCGGGAGGAGGACGCTCTAGCCCCCCCTCTCCGGCGTAGACGGGTGGGCCGAAGAAGGCAGGCAGCGGTGACTGCCGGTCTTCGACGGCCCTAAGGTGGTCTGGGCGCGGCCTAACCAGCCGCGCGTCCTAGGTGCCGCTCCGGCACAGGCCACCACGTCTGGGGACTGCCTAGTACCCTAGCGCAGTCCCCCTGAGGCGCGTCGCCCGGTCCACTCGTTGGGCCGGGCCTGCCCGGGGGCGTGCTCGGAGATGTGGCGCACGCAGGTGCGTCGGCCCCGAGACCGCCCTCATATGGGCGTAGGAGGGTACCGGGGGGTTTTAGTGGAGTAGGATCAGTGTGGCCTTCCGCACTGGTCCTGCTTGAGTAGGGTCGGCACTGTTTCCCGTGCCGGCGAGTCCCACACACGCCGTGCGCCTAGTCAGCGTCACGGTATGGTGCGTAACTGCATTTCCCCTCGTCACAAAAAAAAAAAAAAAAAAAAAAGGGTTCCGTAACTCAAAAGGAAAAAGCGGAACCCTAATAGAATCACTTTGTTGTCCGTCCGTCAGTCCGTCCAGTTCGTCTGTCAAGACCGTTTTTCTCAGGAACGCGTGGAGGTATCAAACTGAAATTCATATCTAATACTCAAGTTTACTGTCCCTTGAAGCTGTGAAAAATCAAACTTCTAAGCCAAAGCAATCAAAAGATACAGCCGTTTAAGCCGCAAATTTTCGAAACTCGCACGGGAAACAAAACCTACAGGGTATACTTCCTGTAAACTTAGAATCTTGAAATTTGGTACGGTGTAACGTCTTATAATACAGATAAAGGAAAAATTGTGAAAACCGTAAATTTTTAAGTTGCATCATATACTTAATAAAAACATTATTGATTTTTTTTTAAGTTACTACCTCTTTTCTCATTAACGCGTAGAAATATTAAATTGCGTTGGTACGGAACCCTCGGTGCGCAAATCCGACTCGGTTGACCGGTTTTTTTTTTGCGGATACCTAAATCGTAGTCCGAATTCGCTAGCAAAATTTCGGAGGAAACTCAAAATTTCACGATGTATAAATAATGATTTATATTACAAACCCTAATGATGATGACGACTCCGAATTATTATTCTGGAAAAATGACGATTGTTTCTGTTTAAAAAATAAAAATGAATACAGCTGCCAATACGAAAATCTTTAGCAAATAGATAGAGATAGTTAAGTTGTCAACAAAAATGTTCCAAAAATTGTCGTAGGACAATATTTGTTTCTTAGGTTTTGACACACACCACTCATTATGTTGTAGTACAACTTTAAATATGGTATGGTTGGGCAAAATGAACATCTGGATTTCCGTCGTCTATTTTTTTCTAACGTTAGTTCTATTTTTATTTTTAAAGCATGTAACTGCTTGATGTTTAAATCTAAAGAATTGCGAAGGGTGCGGGTTCGAGTCCCGTCTGCTGCCTGGTTCGCGTGGATTTTTTTCTCGTTATATTTTCTTTAGATTTAAACATCAAGCAGTTACATGCTTTAAAAATAAAAATTATAACTATAATTGCTATTTCTTCTTTCAAAGGTTTAATACTTGTAAAAGTATTCATTTGACATTGTGGGTTACCTATAATGCAAAGAGATGGCGCTGCCTTGCAGCTTAAGAATGGCTAGAGGAATTTTGACGCGGTCCGTGAGGGCCGCGGTAGCATAATTGGTCAGTGCATTCGCCCGGATAGCGAAGGGTGCGGGTTCGAGTCCCGTCTGCTGCCTGGTCCGCGTGGATTTTTTTCTAGTTATATTTTCTTTATTCAGGTAACTTTAATGATTCATGGTTAGCGCATTCAGTCTGTGATCGCTAAAGTAATAATATATAAATATTTCCAACACTCACACCATTAGCCTAGCCCCAAAGTAAGCACGGTACCGCTTATGTTATGGGATACTAGGGTAACGGATAAAATACATATACTGTACTTAAATAAGTATATTTATATAGAAATAAATATTAAACATCCATGACTGGAATACAAATGCTCGTATTCATCACAGAAAGATCTGGCCCCTCCGGGATTCGAACCCGGGACCTCTCGAGTAGGCGACACATTGAAACCCAGCGTACAAACCACTCGGCCACGGAAGTCGCTAAAAAGTTAAGAAACTTTCGCAATGGCTGCTCGTAAGATGGGTACCAAAAATTTATTTTCGTGAGCTGCTCCTGGCGGCATTTTCGCCAATTGAAACAAAAACAGATCTATCTAATGTTTTTACGCAATTATGCGTAACGATACACTTCCCTGTACGTATAGTACTATCAGCCAATTTGATTCCCGATCCATCATTTAAGATTATTTCCATACAACTATTGCAAAACAATAAGGTAGAATTTCGGCTAATTGAACGTATTCCTGGAACTATTTTGCCACATGTGACATAATTTTGACGTTATATTATTAGGAGTTTAGAGTAAATATTTCCATACTAGATTAACAAAGTATTTTCTTTATGTCAAGAAACCAAAAAAGTTTTTGATACATTCACGGTTTCAAAAGTAATTCCGAAATTCAAACTCTTATTACAATTTTATCTGTAAGACGTTCTATTGCATTGAAAATTAAGGTCAAATCTCAAAGATCTTTGATCCATTTCGACAGTTTTCTTATTATTAGAAGTTCCTAAGTACAAACGCATTGTCTATAAAAGAAAACTTGTCTGACATTTTGACAATTTTGCGTGAATTAACACACTAGTGGGTCACGAATCAATTTGTTCGATAGTACATGCTAGCCAAGTACTAGCGCTGACAGCTGAGAATGTTTGCTAAAGGATGTGATCTTCGGTACCACGATTATGTACTTTGTTGATCCAAGCAATCTATGGGAGTGTTTGCTTTCGCTTTAAATTGTTGTGATAGGTACACTACATAAATTAATGGCATTTTTAAGAACATACGTGCAGAAAAAATATAATCAATAATATGTTCAAATTAATCTTATAGTAGGTACTTAAAAGAGAGAGAGAGTTAATATATTATATTATATTTAAAATAAAATATATAATCAAATTTGAAGAACTAAAAATTAATAGAAAATACCCCTAACACCACAAAAGCCTTGTTAAAAAGAGATTTAACAAGTTAAAAAAATCATTCCAGTCGGACAACCGTACCAGTAACATTTATGCTTTAATTAATAAACTTATATTTTTGAATGTTTTTTCAGCATCTTCAAGTTAACTACGTAACAATATTCTCAAAAATAATAAAAAAGCGCTTTTGAAAATCGAGTCCCTTAACTGCTAATTGATCGCAGAGATGGAGATGGATATTATTGATTATTTTCCAAAAAATCAAAGTGCCAAGCGTGATGGTTGATGTAAGGATTGTAGTTATATTATCCAAATCTGTTCCGACATAAAGAAGTTATTATTGAATTAAGAAACGCGCAGACAAACAAACATACAAGAATACAAAACATTAAATTTTTATTCGGCAGTCATTGTTCAAAATATACTTACTTTTATTAATCGCCACTCTGATATATAAGAAAATAGAAATTCCTGTGTCGAAATCAACGACGACGGTATTTCCCAACGTCCATTGTCTGTCTTCAGCGGGTTAATTGTTCAAGATCGCAGGAGCGCAACAGATATACGCCGGGCGCGCTGCGTCTACGCATCATTGTGTGTCAAGCCATGGCCGCGCGCGCATGCCTCCTAATGTTGGCTGTCGTAGCAGCCGCAGCAGCTCGCGAGTGCATTGAACTCACCCTGACAGAGAGCCTCTTATCAAACTCCATCCTCAATGGGACAATACTAAAAGTTGCCGCGAAAAATGAGAGTGTTGATGATGTGCCCGTTGTCAGCGTGCTGGAACTGTGGGACAGGTTTCCGAGAGTGATGGTGCCCAGGAATGGCACCAGCGAACAGTGCAGGAGGGAGAGCCAGCTCTTCCACGACAGTTTGGATCGCATGCAGCTGTGGGCGTTGAAAAGTAATTATGAATTTCACGTATGAAAACGGATGACCTTCATGATGTAATTTTTCGTAGCAGGAATTATAAGTGAATCCTCTCTCGTGCGTAGCAACTCCTTATTTATGATATCTACTCATTTAGAATTTAATTCTACCCTACACAAAAATTAGCAGTTCACTACAAGCTCTCATATCCACTAACTTGGGGAATTAATTAAACAGATTTGGGTAAAATGTAGTAAGTAGGTAACTGTTAAACTGGGTCAATTCTGCTGAGCTAACATAAAAATTGTGTCTCAATAGTATCGGTTTTTGACACTGTTCTTGTTACTTTCCCATAAAATAACAAATACATATATACATATAACGATACCAAATAAGAAGTAAACATAAATATTTTTGAGTTCGTGATGTAAAAACATGACTTTGTCATAAATCAAAACTACTGAAATGTCATTCATATGTTCATACATTATCATTACTTTCACCATTACCAGCCTATTAATGTCCTCACTGCTGGGGCACAGGCTTTCCCTATGGATGGAATAGTTCGATTGGGCCATGACCCACCACGTGGGCCCGGTGCTGATTGGTGCGACTACTACGACGACTACAGATGCAGCCGGCACCAACGGCATTACGTGCCTTCCGAAGAACTGAGGAGCACGTGATAATAAGTTTTGGCCACCCATTTCATAACTGACCATTGCGAAAGTTGCTTAACTTCCACTATTTCAGCCCGAACGCGCTATTCACCTGCGTCATCTATCTCCTATTACTTTACCGGAGCAGAATCACCCTGAGGTCGATTCTGATAATGCCAATTTTCTTATGCCAAGTATAATTCACTCAGGTATAAGTATAATATATCTATAAAAAACAATTTGAAATAAATAACATGAAAGGAATTTTAGTCAAAATACTTCAAAGGGTAATTTTTACAGAACATTGCCAAAAATATATTTTACAGGCTCACGATAACAAAAATCGTCCCTAAATAATTCTAATCTGAAAAAAAAGTATCAAACCCAAAAACTCACCAGAGATGAACCTGATAATTTCCCTAATTTATTTAGTTATTGACAATAAAATGCCTATAGACATACACGTGCGTCATGAATGATATCTGATGCAGGTACAATTTAAGCATTGCCAAATATTTCAAATAGATCAAATTTCATGATGACACAAGGAGTTTTAAAAGTTATCATACACATAAAGCAAGTAAAGCATTTTAAATTTCGTATTATCTGAAAATAATATATTTTTTTATAAATAGACATAAAGTATGTATAAGACAAAAAATGCATATTTTGCTCTATTCTACATGAATCGTTCAGTTGACTTTATTCAAACGCTAATTCATTTACCTACAACGAGTAGCAAAAGTACAAAGGTCATGAAATAACTTTTACTCATACTGATTTTCATCCTTTTTTTATCGCCCATAATAAGGGAGTGTCCCTTTAATTATATTTTCTGAGCAGTTTTCTTTAATCTGATTGAGTGTAAGCTTTTGAATCATATTTTTTTTTGTCACACCAGCCGATAAGAACATTTATACATAGCTGTAGATTAAATCTATATACCAAGTTCAATCTTGATAAAAAGCGTAAAGGGTGATTTATTTATTATATTAATGTTTTTAAATCTAAATATGAATTGAAAATAATAAGGCAATTGACACAAAATTACATATATCAGTCAGTATTTTGGGGATATTCGCAACATAAATAAATATTTATGTAAAATATTTTAATGTTATTATCCAAAATAAACCGCTGAAAGGGTGAAATAAAAACGCTACCCTACTGAAACCACAATTGTTACTGTTAAGGTGTGAGACAGAAAGCTCGATCCCTTTTCTATTTCCACTCGAATTACAGCACCTGTCTAGTCAAGTCAACCTGTCTAGTTTTGGTTGTATTGTGTATTATGGTTCCAGGAATCCATGGGATTACTGCAACATGAAGATTATTGGTACGGCATTTTAGTTAGCCGAATCAATAGACGTATTCTAATTTAACGAAAATCTAAATTTTGACTGAAACTTCATACGCTTCATCTTCGTTTCTTTAATTATAGTAATATAAGTTCATCCAAAAATAGTGTGAGGTTAAGATTATCTAAGCCTACTCAAGGCAAAATTATATTTGATAGTTTATCGTTCAAATTAAGTATAACCTCAAATTAAAGAAATGAGGTTAGGTTTGAATTTCGTTAACGAAAGTATGTTTCAGAGAAAGAGAGTAGTAGACCTGCAGTTATTTATGCGATAAGACCACTTGCAAATGCAGACACGCTGGGGTTGTTTGCTGAGTCCTTGTAAAAAAACAGTCACAAAACTAAATGTATATCATTGTCTCTAAAGCGAGTCAAAATCAACATGTCGCGTCCTAAGTACGAGCCTTTAATTGTGTTTTTTGCGATCCACACGTTGATTTTTACTCGATTTAGAGTAAATATCGATCAATCGAAACGAAAACAAATCGAAAATCGATTATCGAGAAATACTTTATATGAGTTCGGACCATTAGATATGATATAATGAATACATGACATCTGTGAAGACACTATAAATTAGCAGTCATTTTACAAATAACATAGTTCTGATTTTTTTATGTCAGTATAAATGATATTCTGAAATACCAAATTAGAAATTCTCAAATAAAAAATATACGTGTGTACATAACACATTATAATCAAGTTCATACGTCGTCATTCATACCATGTTAACTTTAAATATTAATACTTACTATATTTTTTAATAATTTGTTGTCTTTTTTTTTTATTTGTTTTTCAATATATTTTAAAACAAAAAAAACAGAGTGACTTGGCTAAACCACAATACTAACTCGGTAGCATAAGGTCAAAGAATTATTGTGCCTCCTTTAGCCCCTTTAAAACATTTAATAATATTTGTGTGAATTTTATTTGCATTTTTGATAAATCATCCAATGACTTTAATATTAATGAAATCACGCTCACCAAAATATTTTTTTGTTTACGATAGAGTTGGAATAACAAATTAGATGGCGCTTTGTCGATAGCCGGTATCATTAGCATCATTCTTAAATGTATTTTTTATTATTGGCCGACTTTCTCATAAGTAGGTGATTTCGACGGATTTACTTTCATTTTTATCCTTACATATAATAAATAAGCAAGTAATTTTTGCTGTCTGTGACAATTGATCAAAGGACCAAAATGAATTTTCGTAATACAGGTAAAGAAGAGTTAAATTATTCCTAAAAATATTAATTTTACTTTTTTTTCGTCATTCTGTACGCTATTATTAATTATGAATCATAATTTATGATTTAGAACCCTTGGTTGAAAATACTTGATAAATGGTAAATAATATTTTATTGGTTTATATAACTCACAGAATCAAAAGTTTAAAAGTATTTTTTTATATTTATAGGTAGTTGAAGTACAGTGTTCATGATGTTCAAGAAACATATTTTTTTTCTAAAAAATAAATAACTTATCGAGACCCCGCGTTTTAGCATTGATGATACAATCAAATTGTGGGACCTAACCGTGACCTCTTGCAATTATTAAATCATAAGTATATAGATATTTCTAATTGATGATGTCACCATGGGCGCAGCAAGGTTTATTTTCAGGGATATGCATCTGCATCTATATACACATACTATAACCAATATGAAATATAGAAATATATTAGTAAAGTTCCTATCTCTCTGAAGCTCGATGGCGCCAGTGGTTAGCGCGTTCGGCTGCGGTCGTTGAAGTTGAATAACTTTCGCAGTGGTCGGTCATTGGATGGGTGACCAAAAATTTACTATCTCGAGCAAAAATTTACTCCTCCGTGCTTCGGAAGGCACGTTAAGCCGTTGGTCCCGACTACATCTGCAGTCGTTAGCACCCACCAACGCGCACTGGGCCCGCGTGGTGGGTCATGGCCTAATCTTCCTAATCCATCCATAGGGAAGGCCTGTGCCCCAGCAGTGGGAACATTAATAGGCTGATGATGATGAAAGTTCCTATGTGGATAAATGCAATGTCAAATACATCATGTCATATTTTTTTACATATTCTGTAATCATTACTATGTTAGTATATTCAAATGCATTTTTATATATATTTTTATCGTGATATTTTTTATAAAAATATTTTTTTTATTGCTTCTAATTAAAGACACATGAGCCGATGACCCGCACTGGGCTCGCGTGGTGGGTCATGGCCCAATCTCCCTATTCCATCCGTTTGGAAGGTCGTTGCCCTAGTAGTGGGGAGATTAATAGGCTGATGATGATGATGAGCAGATGACCCTGATGGTCACCATCGCGTCATTAGGGCCGTGGTAGCATAATAGTCACTGCATCCGCTCGGACAGCGTAGGATGCGGGTTCGAGTCCCGTCTGCTGCGTGGTCCACGTGGAATATTTCTAGTAAAATTTGCTTTAGATTTAAACATCTAGTAGTTAAAGGCTTAAAAAATAAATTTAGTAATTTCTTTTACTTCTCACATTTCTATATGATATTTTGATTACGACCCATTTCGTTTCTCGCTAACACGTTGACTCTTTCAACTATTTCTACTAAATAATATAATAAACTTTAAATAATGGTAAATGAAACAGTTACTTACCTATTATAGAAAAATATATCTATATATATAAAACTCAAAGGTGACTGACTGACTGACATAGTGATCTATCAACGCACAGCCCAAAACAATGGACGGATCGGGCTGAAACTTGGCATGCAGGTAGATGTTATGACGTAGGCATCCTCTAAGAAGGAAGGATTTTGATCAATTCTACCCCCAAGGGGATAAAATAGGGAATGAAAGTTTGTATGAAACTTTTTCAGTTTTAAACCGATCGGGCTGAGACTTTGCATGCAGGTATAAGAAGAATCATAGATGAATGTCATTGTGTATAATACAAGCCTGAGAACAAAAACTGTAGTCTACACTTCAGCTCTACACCGAAGCGAGGGCGGGCCACTAGTATTTTATAAACTTCAAAGGTTCATAAACAACTCCAA